AAACTTACAGATTAAGGGGCGGTAATATTATAATGAGATCCTTTTGCCACGTCACCAAGGGAGCGAAATCAGACGCGCTCGTTTTTTCAGACGCTTGCAGAAAAAGGCTTACCGAAACAAAGTTACTGGGTTAATCTTTTTCACATTTCCTTGGTTGGTAGATGCACCGGGGACCTGATTATAGCACTTAAAACCTGTAAAAGTCAGATTTTCATGATATGTCACCTTTAATATCACACAATGTGACTATATCTTCATATATGACTGTATATCTAACATTATTTCTTATACTGAACTTTATCTCATAATCACTGGTTCATTGTTAGGGAATGTTAACAAATGGAACCTTATTGTAAAGTGTCACACAGTCAATGTTAAAGTGGAAACAGCTTCCATACAGAAGTGAAAATATACCAAAGAGTAGGGGTTTCCAAACTTTGACTATAGTGTTTCTCCAGTCACTCCAGCTTTATCTATGTTTGTGGGAAGCCAGTAGACTTTGTGAGTGAGAGAGCTGTTGGTTATACCTAAACATAAACAAAGTGCAGAGGAGAAGGCGAGTTGTGTGTCAAAACATAAACACACTGCATGTGAGAGCCAGAACAGTGAGGAACTTTTCTTAGAAACTGATAACCTTGAGTTTACTGTGATAAAAGACTTGACATAGAGTCCAGGAGTGGAAGAGAATCAGGAGAGCGGAGGATGTGGAGGAAGAGAAGGTTGATGGGGCTAAATAATGGTGTGGATGAATAACACAAAAGTGAAGGTGCAAGGTACAACAGTACAAGGATGAATAGGATGAATCGGACAGCAGAATGTACTGTGCTTTGGCAGAGAGACGGAGAGTGTAGAATATGTGATTGAGCAGTTAGCAGAACGAGAAAGATTTTCTTTTAAGTTGAAGACATTTCAGCACACTGGGAAACAAAGATACAAGAGAGAAGGAAGTAGAAAATAGAAGATGCAAGTGTGAGAGAGAGGAAATGGAAAATTGTGTGTAAATACAATAGTCTGTAGCGTCTGGACCAATCAAACACACAATATATATTTTGTTAGCTATATTTAACAAATACTCTGTAACACCCCTCAGTTAACAAGCCATATGAGGACCTATGGACTGTGTATGTTAGACTAGTTTAAGTGTTTATGTAGTATGTTGGACCAGTTTAAGTGTTTATGTAGTTAATAAAGTCTTACTTGTATTACACTTGACGTTGTTCATTGTTTGCTCATATCTGGAGTCCCTAATCATGCAGATTTATGCTACAGGCTCTGTGTAGAGTTGTACAGTAAGAAAGTTATTTCCCTTAACCAGGAAATTAACGTTCTTAGAATTGACAGACAGTTGACCCTGAGAGGTCAAGTAAATATCTACAGCGGATCTAAATATTTATAATTAATTATAACTAGTTATGATTAATTATTCATATTTCCCCATGAGCTGATTCGCTACAGTCGACTGTATTATTGTCCATTACGGTCAAAGGAAATTGCCCATCCCAATAACTGCTCTTGTTTTCTTTCCTGGGGAAAGAAAACAGAGGGTGTCTCCGACAGATGTGACAGCACTGGATATTTCCAAAACATACACACACACACGTTCACACGGACTGCAGCAGCAGCATTATGGAGCTGAGATGCTTATCTGAGGTACGTCTGTTTCCTGTGACCAGAAATGACTGCTGACACTCTGCAGCCCGACTAGCACAAATAACAACAAGAAGCATAATCCTGAGAACCACTACAACTCACAGCACAATGACAACAGTTTCCTCTCAAAGGAAAGGACAATTGATCAGGTTAAAGCTCATAAAAGTACAGACCATCCTGTCAGTCTTGCCTTAACGTTCCCATCACATAGATTTGAGAAAATTTGATGAATAACTAAAAATTTAATTCTAAACCACATGAACTGTTGATACTTAAAGCAGTGTTATTCTAACAGATGTTTTGTTCATGTTGCGCTGGCTGATATGTATAGTATGTGGAAGCCTGTTTCCACACAGAATTAAAAAAAGGTCATTGTGACTTTTTATCTCACAATTCTTACTTTTTTCTAGAAATTCTGAGTTTATATCTTAACTCAGACTTTGTTTCTAGAAATTCTGAGAAGAAAAGTCAAAATTGTGAGATATAAACTCGCAATTGCAAGAAAAAAGGCAGAATTGTGAAGAAAAAAATCACTGCTAACTTTTTTTCATTTTTTAATATGTGGTGCAAACAAAGAAACAGAATTGTGAGATATAAACTCAGAATTCAGACTTTTTTACTCACAATTCTGAGTTTACATCTTGTAAATCTGCCTTTTCCCCTCGCAATTCTGTTTCTTTGTTTCCACCATGGAATAAACAAAATGACAAAGTTTCATTTTGACTTTTTATTTCACAATTCTGTCTTTGTTCTGGCAGTTGCAAGTTTATCTCACAGTTCTGACGTTTTTATATCTCAGATTATATCTCACAATACTGAGTTTTTTTCCCCCTCAATTGCGAGTTTCTGTCTCGCAATTTTGAGTTTATAACTTGTTGCAATTCTAAGAGTCTCGGCTCTGAGAACAGAGTCTGAGAATAAATTTATTATTGCGAGGAAAAAGTCGCAATTACCTTTTTTTATTTGTAATTTTTCGCGGCAGAAACAGGCTTCCATAGATATGTCAGCCATATTAGATTTATAGTGACACCTAGTGGAATGAATGCAGTATCATGAAAAGCAATAGTTTGCAACATTATTAATGTTTTTACTGAAAAGGTGTCTGATGATGGTTGAATTATGTTATTTGGGAAAATTCTTTTTTTTAAGGAGAAATAAAATTACTTAGTGCACCTTTAAAGATATGTTGTCCCCTGTTTTCTAGCAGTAGGATGTACTAAACTAGAATAGGAGACATGCTACACTGCTCATGAGAGACATCACATTTACTCAAAAACTGTTCTCCAGTGAGTGAGGGAGGGGGGTCCTTTTATGATTCAGGTGCTCAGCTTTAAAACAGGATGTATATGCTTGAGCAGATGGATCACATTCAAATCATGCAGGAAATGAACATGCACGCTTTCTCACACTGCACACTTCTCATTCTCTCTCACGCACGTGCCAACAGAATTCAATGGGATTGTGGTCATTAGGTAACATTATTCTGTTTTACTGGCAATTTTCATGTAGTCATGAGACTTGAGGAAGGTCATGTTATATGTTTCTGAATCTTACTTCTCATCTCCCCTTTAATGATTAATATAAGGGGTGGCAAAATGTGTAATCTCATCTCATCGCATGAACCTTAATTTTTTTCACGTTTTGTTTTGTTGCAGCCTTATGTTAAACTGCTTTAAATTACTTTTTTTCCACATCAATCTACACTCCATACACCATAATGACAAAACAAATAACAGGTTTTTAACATCTTTGCAAATTTATTAAAGATAAAAAACGTAAATGATTCCATTGCATCTGGGACTTATCTGGGACAGTTGAAATTTAGCTCAGGAGCATTCATTTTGCTTGTAAATGTTACCTGTTGCAAATTCAACTGAATGGGTATGATTTGGAAAGGCACACATGTCTAAATAAAAGGTCTAACAGCTAAAAATGCATATTAGAGCAAAGGTCAAAAGGACTGCCTGTAGAGCTCAGAGACAGGAATGCATCAAACCACACATCTGGGCAAGAGTTCATAAAAAAAATTCTGCTTCATTGAAGGGTCACAGAAGCATGTAGCCTCCATTATCCATAATGGAAGACTTTTGGAACAACCAGGACTCTTCCTAGAGCTGGCCTCCTGACCAAACTGAGCAATTAATGGAGAAGGGCTTTGGTTAGATTAGTGACCAAGAACCCGATGGTCACTCTAGTTGAGCTCCATGATCATATGTGGAGATAGGCCAAACTCAATCCTCTCCTCTGTGTAGACACATGAAAACACACTTGGAATTTGCAAAACAGCACCTAAAGGACTCTCAGACTGTGAGAAACAAGAGTCTCTGGTCTGGTGTGTGCTGGTAGCAGCCTCATGCTGTGGGGTATATATATATATATATATATATATATATATATATATATAGTACTTGAATACACTTCTCATGTTTTTAGTTTCTGAAAATGATTTTGTTATTTTTTTGTGTGCCGTTTAGTTCTTTCAAAAATAATGTTGGATTGTTTTTTCTAAAAAAGCAAGAGCAATTACTAAATTACTAAATGTTGGAATCAACATTAAATGCTTTTGAAGTATTTTTCATTATTCGTTTATGTTTACTAATGTAGTTATCTAATGTTTACAAATGGAACCTTATTGTAAAGTGTTAACTTATTTTTAAATATCACTTTTGAAAAGTTTTTTTCTTCCAGGTCAAATGTAGTATACTATATAAAAAATATCTTGACATATTATATAAAATGTCTTGATGTAAAATGTATATTTATGAAACTGGTAGGCTAATAAAAAAAATTGTTACCTTGGAAAATATATTGTAGGCTTATTTGTCATTGGCCCTAACAAATATAGGCCTATATAAAAAATCCATTATACAACTGTATGATGTATATATATATATGATACATGAGCCACAGAATATTTGACATTTTGTTTTGATAGAAAATATTTGAGTGGCCAAAAGTGCCCTTAGAGTTGAGTCTCTGATCTTGAGGGGTACATTCCGGAAATCATAATTCGATGCACTAGCTATTAGCCTACCTCTCGATGGGGGTAGATAATTATCATTAAATGAAAGAGAACTGACGTTAACGGACGCGATGACGCTGAATCTGAAGTTCTCGTAGGACACGGATGTGATGTCATCACGGACAGTGGCTATGGCGGTCTCCATAACGACGCCTCGTGCTGCAGTGACGCCAGCCCGGCTCGTGGTGAGGGGGCGTGACTCAGCCGATGCCCCATTCCCCTCCTCCTCCCCCTGCGCTTGTGGGCGCGAGCGAAACACGACGAGAGAGAGAGAGAATATGGGGGAGGAGACAGCGAGTAGTTTCAGACTAGGGAGAGAGAGAGAGAGAGAGAGAGAGATATGGGGGAGGAGACAGCGAGTAGTTTCAGACTAGGGAGAGTGGAGGAAGGAGAGAGAGAGATATGGGGGAGGAGACAGCGAGTAGTTTCAGACTAGGGAGAGTGGAGGAAGGAAAAAAGTCGGTGTGAAAGAGAGAATGGGAAACTGACTGATATAATGCGAATGGCGAGCCTCGGGAGAGCAGATGACAAACTAACACAAGGATAAAATGTTGCGAAAATCATCATCAGGGATCAAGAGCGCGAGTTTGTAACAGTGAGACGCGGAGCGCTGCTTTCCTGCGGTGTTGGGATTGTATCGATCGCTCCCGGGACAGACGGCAAAGCGCTGTTTCGGAACTCCGCTGCACCCCTTCCCGTCCCGCCCCGCCGCGCCAGTGGAAGTACGTTACCGAGCCGCTTTCCCAAACTCAGCGCTGACGGTCGGGGGTTTGGAGGGATCGCGAAAAGAGGCCAGAAGTCGTTCTGCGCGAGCAACAAGAGCGCTGATCATTGGACAAAAGTTTGGCCTTTTGGAGACGGGGGTGCGGGAGAGGCCGAGTCTCGCCACTGCTGAACTGACAACTTACCCCAGCTCGCTGTGTGTTAGGGGCAGATAACTTTCACCATGAAAACCCCGGGGGACGCGGGTAAGTTACCCAGGCATTCATTATCAAGTGCTGCCACAACTTCGACTTGTGAGCTTGTTGAGCTGAGCCAGTGTATCGAGTCAGGATTTTACAAAACATCAACTTTATTGAGCAGTCAGCAATGTCAAAATGGATGTAACGTTATTAGTTTCACGACAACTGACTTTTACTTTTAGAAAAGTTGACTATTTTTCGACGATTTATTACTCTGACATGTCAACTGATTCACTACTCGGTTATTTTTTGTTTGGCTTGCATTATATGGTTAAACTCATATGTGTTTAACTCGTGAACTTGAATGGCAGTTTTCAAATATTCAAACTAATAAATAATGCGGTCAGTTGTCCATTCATTTTAATAACCTCAAGTGTCGCGGTGTAGTCTAGACGTGTAGTCCAGCTCAGTCTGTTCATTCTAGTAGTCCTAATGTTAACAAGTTCTCAAGTTTGCGGTTTTACTTTAAATAGTTACATTCAAACCTAATGACCGCTTCATTTCAGTTTCTTCCAGTCCTGTCAGCGCGAAACCGGTTGAATGCTACAAGTTTAAAACAGCAGCTTGTACTTCTGTCGTTCTTGGAAGTATGTCGAAATCGATGCCGTGAATTCCCCTCAAAATGTTAAATACCTTTTTTCCCCCAAAAATGTTCCTCCTCGCACTCTGCGCCTGTAGCAGTAGCATGGCACATTCAAAATGGAAGCCCCGCTTTCTCACCGGAGTATTTAATTATCATGTTACTTTGTTTACAAATGGACCACTTTGCATTCGCTCCAGTTTCTTGGGTTTTAAATATAGACCTTTAAGCTTGTAAAGTGCAGTGAAGCCTAATAACACAGAGCTGCGCACTAATATCCCGTTAGGTGAAAGGATCGCCTACTTTTATGATGAATGCTTTCCAGTAGTTTGAATTCACTTTAATCACTGTTAGCATACTTGCCGCAAGTATTCATTTCCTAACATGTATCTACTTGTCCAGTATGCACTTGGGAAGTTGCTACTGTCCCGCCAACTACAGGAAGTTTCAGTAGCCGTGTTCAGGAGGCCTATTGTGGCATGTTTGGGAATCCATGTTGAGACACTCTCGCTTTCTCTCCCTCAATCACGATTCACAATCATTTCTCTCACATCACGATTTTCTCAGCGGTCGTACCCCGCCACCCACGCAGCTCGAAGTTTTAAGGACTTTTAACTATTATATTAATCAAAGCTGCGAGCGCGCTACGCCATTAACCTACCGAGTGTCTAAGCGCGCGATGCATTGTAGTTTTGTCTCGCGCTGTAGACTGGCCTTAAAAAAGATCGTCCGGCTCTGCGTGAAGTCTTACCACTTCATGGTCACTTTCACTTTTAAAAACCTTGCTTTTCCCTCCCTCACAAGTTAAACTTGTTGTTTTTAGCTGACCTCTTCATTTTTATAGTATGTAGTAGCCTATGTTAAATTGCAAGTACTTTTGTTTATCATCTTTTTATTTCAAGACTACCAGTAGTGACATCTTGGCCGAGTGCAAATTATTATATCTAAAATCCCTCTAGCCCCTCTTGCCTTTTCTGATTGTGAGTTTGAAAGCCTGGGTTAGCTAAAGTTATTTTCTTTAATATTTTTAATAAAGAATATTACTATATCCCAAAGACTGTCTGCATGTTTGCATGTGTGAGTTGTCAGTGAAAATATCTAAAAGAAACTCATTACCTCATAAGTTCATTATATATGCTGTGATACCAATATCAACACATTCGAAAACCACATTTTACTTTCAGCTGTGATTTGTTTAGACAACATTATCCAAACTTTTCCCCATATGGAGTGTGTTTTTAACTAAGAAGGTGCATAAAATTGAAATTTGATGAAGGTTTTGTGGTTGACCTCTTGACCTGCTCAAAAATACATACTTGCGTTAGTAGCATTGGTTTACCCTTTTTGCAAGATAAAAGTTTCGTATCACACATATCTCATCTTCAGTCCACAGACGTTGGCATTTTTATGTATGTTGACTTTGTGAAGCTGAACGTCAGCGATGAGGTGCAGAGACGGGATGAAATGTTGCTTTAAGTCAGGTGGCAATAACTACTACAAGTACCTTGCGGTTTTATCATTCTACGGCTGTGCAGGCCACATTCTGACCTCGATAGTTACGAGGTGAGCTCAGCTGCTGAGTATGCAAGCGAGTGAGCGAGTAAGAGAGTAAGACGAAGATACAGTACCGAGTATAGGATGTGGTTTCCAAGTGCTTCACTCTTTATCAGATTTTAGTATGTCTTCAGTCTGTGTTCTTACCTGCAAACACCCACAGCGGTATAAATACGTAGCGCATTTCGGTGAGAGAGCATTTTCTCTGAAAGCCGTGGTTTGTTATGAGAACAGGAGGTGACAAAAGCGTTGGTATGGCGTGCATCCTGATAAAAGTCATGTGTGTGTCTGTCAGTCCTTGTAAAACTGACACTATCGACTTCATCAAAAAGCTCTCGCCACATGAATCGCATTAGATAAGAGACTCTGCTCTTATCAGTTCCTCACTCTCTGACTGCCACTTTGCATGAATTCAGAGAATGATGCGCACCTCTTCAGGCTTCCTTCTTTTCCGGGTGCTGTGTGTCTGCACAAATAGGCTTCAGCTGACCCTGGCTGATCACGTTTCCTCTGTAACATCTGAAAGTGTCTGTGGTTTAACTATGGTCTACCCATCAGGCCTCAGTGTGTATTTAGTACAGCAGTATCCTGAATGGCTAACCCTGTAATTTGTGTGCTGTCTCATCAGATGGTCGTGAAGAGTCAGTGGTTAAGATTCCAGCTTTAATTTGTAATATTGGTTTGTTATTTTTCAAAGAGATAGGTGTTGGCCATCAGTGTCAAAAATGTATTCAATATTCAGTATTTGCCCCCACAGGTATTTTTAACTTTATGAGGTCACTTTTTTCAATCATATTGTGTCAGCCTTGCAAATAGCTTATAAATTAAGTTTAAGCAATCATTAAAATAAATTCACAGTGGGAATAATTACATAAGCTGCTATTCATTAAAATAAATTAATATGCTTGCAGATATTCAGCACAGTTGCTAAGTGTGATATTGCTTTTACGCAATAGCTAAATAAACAAGGAAATTAATATTGAGTAACTTACATTTTAGAGAATATAGCCAGCTACCTTATTATTTTTGTCTGTTTAATGGTAGTGTTAGTGTTTTAAACAAATTGAGTGAACGATTCAATGACTCCCTCAATTAGTCCCTTGTTTTGTTCTTGAGTGAATCAGTGGTGTTATTTGAATCACTTAAGTGAATAATTCAATGATTCCCTTATAAAGAATTCCACTCAGCCAATCAAATTCAAATTGTTGCATAAATACATTTAAATAATAGCAACTAGCCTATATCACATTTTAAATTTCAGGTGCGTTTTTGACCCAGTCCCAGATAATTTCGAACCCTGGCACGGTTTTCATGTTGCTTACTCTATTTATTCTACATGTTTGCCTGTGTGTTTGTGAGTGTGTCGTTGTCATGCTTCTTTCCATATAGGTGTAATAGATTGTTAATTTCGAATAACTAGCAGCCTTTTATCACTCGTTCACATTGTCACACAGGAGACCGTGTGCTCCATTTTAGTCAGTGTTATGCAGCCGTCTCAGTTGTTCAGGTCTCTCTGGAACCAGTTCAACATCAACAGGCACCTCTCTATGTTTACATGCTTATGTATCCTGTTCGGCAGCATGTGTGTGTGTTTGTGCGAGACAGCCACCGAGCGAACGTGTTTTGTATTTTCCGCACTGCCTAGTTTCCCATCAGGCCCATCAAACGATTGTGCCGTCATACTATTTCTGTGAACGCCTGTAAATGTCACACACATAGGCAGGATTTTTCGGTGACATTGAAGTGTGAGGCCGTATTAAACGCTGCAGCGATAAAGTCTGTACTTTTTTTCTTACATCGCTCGCCTTGGGAGCACTTGTACCTCGATTTAGGAGTGTTGGGAATAAATGTTTCACTGGAAGTGTACGGATGGTGTATTTCTAGGGATGAATGAGGTCCTCTGGGGTTGAATAGTATTTTGTTTGTTTTTACCCCTGGAGAACAATAATGGTGTGTCCACCGACAGGGGAGCACAGTGGTTTGTGTGTGTTTGCCATGTCAGTGGGTTACGGGGGCAGCGCAGAATACGAGCGAGAGCGTCCATGTGTTGGAGTCATTTATGGAGTGACAGAAGCACAGAGGCCCCTGTGTATGATCGGGGGGAGGGGGGCAACATGTGTGTGTATGACCCTGACTTCGTGACCTTCCATAGCTGCACCCCTAACCCTGCATTCCAGCACACGCCCCTGCCCCCGCCGGTCACATGCCACGCAGCCAATGGCATGAGGGCCCGATGCCATCTCCTCAACCACATATGTTACTCTAGAAGAGCGTATGAACCACGTCAGCCTGGTTTCATTTCCTTATCTAATTTCCTAAATTCGTCTGTGTAATTCCCCATTTCTTCAAATCAGAAGTACTACAGATTTACAATATTTGAGTAAGGTTAGTGAGGTCAGATGTCATCTCGCTCTCACTTTCCTTCCCTTCCCTTCTGTCCTGTTCGTCCTCTTCAAGCGTCAGGAGAATGTTAAACATTCAAAGCAAATGTTTTGTGCGTCACACAAAGTTGATGATTGAAGTGTTGTGTGGAAAGAATAGTTTAACCGATGCTCTATTATGTGGTTTGATATTTGCATGTCTTTCACAATAGCATACCTCACATATCCGAGGAGCCTTCAGTAGGATGTTCATTAACATGACAAACCACTGAAGATGAACTTAGAGGCCTTTATGAAACCATGTAAAGCTGTGTCAGGGTGCTAATTTTGGGGTTTCCATTCAAGCACAAAACAACTGAGCTTTGATTTTTCTGCTTACAGAAGTTTGCAGATTTTCAACCAGGTTCGTGTTGGTAAATTGTCGGTAGCATATTTAAATGAACAGTGTGTATTTTTTCTCCACATTACCTGCACACAGATATCCTGGTGTAATTGTCAGCTAAAACACGTCATCTGGTGGATTTTTGACAGCTCCAGGGCTTCTGTGAAAATTACAGTACTTAGCATTTTTTATATCTCCCACTCACGGTCAGTCGTATTGAGCCAAGTGCATTATGGGTTAAGTTTCACTACCATTTTGGCAAAAGGGAATGCCACAGGCCATCTATCAGCAGCGGTGAATCACCTCTTTAAGTGCCATAATACAGTAAAAAATTACACTGTGCTGTTTTATAATATTATAGTATTACTGCAGATTCTTTAAACCGAAATGTGTAAGATAATTGTTTTCGCATGTATTGAAATTTTCTTTGTTTTGTTTTTCTTGTCTAAACGGTCAATGCCTGATAACATATTCTATACATTTTTTTTTTTGGTTTGTTTCTCATATACTTGTTTCAAAATTCAAATATAATAAAATAAAATTTCAAAATATAATAAAACCTTTGATTAGGTATATTTTTTGTATGGTTTTTTTTCTCTACAGTAATATTTGTGGCAAACTAAAAAATCTATTTTTGACTGATGGTGGCATTGTTCATCTAATCTCGTAAAACTTTTTTGATGATAATAACAGAGTTAGATAAAAAAAAAAAAAAAGGTAGACAAAAATGTACCTATCTTTGCAACAATTTTTTCCTGACTTTTATTATGGGTCTGTCTAGGGACTATTACTACTACTACTTCTCAGTTGTTATTATTTCTGTCTGCACCTGATTCCTTTATATTAATGATAAGACTA